CCCCCGTGCTCCTTTCCCCAGCATTTTTAAATTTTTGGCGTCAAATTTTTTGCGGGTGGTTCGAAGCATTTGCTTTTTAGCACAACTTAGCACTTCCCAAATGAATCGTTGTGCTTAATTTCGATGTCTTTTCTGCTATCTTTTGTGTTCGTTGCCTTAGGCTATCATAGTTCTTTTCAAAAAGATGATTTTGATGTTCCCTCAAGACAAAAGGGAATTGAGCGCTGCCATCATTTATCTCCTATAGCTTTGCATATATATAAATCTTCGAAACACCACAACCACCTCATGCGATTTGTCATGTTTTGGGAGCTGAGGAAGCACGAAGCTGGCAGAGAGTTTTTTGCGAAGTCGCACCATTAAATTGTATAAACTAAGGCGGCAAAAAGGGTACACCGCTGGTGGTGTATGCTAAATTTTCTTCAATTTTCTTTCTAGCAGTTCAGCAAAAAGGGAATCATTTACAGTTTCGCGAAGCGGGAAGCTCTTGCCCTTATTATAACCAGCCTTAGGGCTAATGGCGCTTAAAAAATGTAGGGAATCTTTTGAGGAAACGGAAGCATTAATTGCGGAAGAGGTTTTAAGGCCCGAAGCTTAAATGTTGTTAAACATGAAACCTATTCCATAAAGCAGTATAAATTTTCCTGCCATTCATAGCTGTCTTTAAAACCCTTTCACTCCTTTCGAATAAGCAGACGCTAAAAAAAATTTTTTTTTAAAATTGTTATAAGCTCAAAAGCAAGAAGAAATTAAATAGTCGAAATTTCTATTTACGGCACTTCACTCTCTGTTGAAGATGCAGGAACTCTGAGCCGGTAACCCGTTCAAGAGGTTAAAGGTCCTATACTTCAAGTTAGTACCCACCGCCCTCACTCGATGTATGTGTAGTTTACTTTCTCGGGGTTTACCCGAGTATTCGTTTACTTTCTCGTGGGTACCACTCACTGACACAAGTCGTCCATCAGTTGTCAACGTGGCGAGCAACGTGTCCTGCCCAGCGGATTTTAATTTCTCGCATGGCGTAATGTCATCCTGCACACTGTTTACTGAGAAAATTCAACTGTGGCATATTCAGTTCAGTCGTACATAACTTAGTCGATCGAAGCGTTTTAAGCTCAACTAAATTATTATTTCTTTATATATGCCGCGATATCTTCTACGACAGAAAGACTACTTCGACTGTAAAAGCAGAACTTTTCAATTCGACCGTGATACCAGCT